CCGTGAGGAATGTGCCCACTGTAAAACTTGAGAGCGAATAGCGTCAGGCACAAACAAACGGTTGGGAGGACCAGTACCTGGGTCTGGCTGCTGATCCTGAGCACGACGAACCTTGGACTCAATCTCCCATGTGAGAGATGAAATGACCAAACACTTTCGATTGGGCTGGTTCCTTCCCGTATTGCCTTGTCGGAGAAGAGTTCCAGCATCAACGTAGGCCTCTGGAAGGATGGGTTCAGGTTCACCCGTGTCCTCTTCCGCAGCATATTGTCGGGAAAGGGCATCCGGCTTGACATTCCGGGATCCAGGTCTGTATGTGAGAGAAAAATTGAAGCGACTGAAGAATAAAGTCCATCTAGCTTGGCGAGCATTGAGCCTCTTTGCTGAGCGGATGTATTCCAGGTTCCTGTGATCGGTCCAAACGATGAAGGGAAGTTCTGCACCCTCTAGCCAGTGACGCCACTCCTCAAGAGCCAACTTAACTGCCAGGAGTTCACGATTGCCGACGTCATAATTTCTTTCTGCAGGGGAAAGTCGGCGGGAGAAGAATGCGCAGGGGTGCAGCTTTTGATCCGATGTGGACCTCTGCGAGAGGACAGCTCCAACACCGGTGTCTGATGCATCTACCTCCACAATGAACTGTCGTGCGGGGTCTGGTTGCACCAGGATCGGGGCAGAGACAAAGCGTTCCTTGAGGTCCTGGAAAGCCTGCGCTGCTTCAGGAGACCAGATAAAGGTGTGGTTCGTCGAGGTTAGGGCTGTCCGTGGAAGAGCAACTTTACTATAGTTGCGGATGAATCTGCGGTAGAAGTTAGCAAATCCAAGGAAACGCTGGAGCTGCTTACGGTCCTCCGGGACCGGCCAATCCTTCACCGCAGATACCTTGAGTGGGTCCATCTTCACCTCCCCTGCAGAGATGATGTACCCCAGAAAAGCGACCGTGGAAACATGGAACTCGCATTTCTCTGCTTTGACGTAGAGTCGGTTCTTGAGGAGTCGCTCAAGAACCAGACGAACATGCCGAGTGTGTTCTTCCAGGTTCTTCGAGTAGATGAGGATATCATCGAGATACACAAAAACGAACCTGTTGATCATGTCACGAAGAACATCGTTGATTAGGTTTTGGAAGACAGCTGGGGCGTTT